CGAGACTACGAGGGGGATTTGGTTTACCAAATTGGGAATTATATTATCAAGCAGCAGCATTGACACGGTTGAAAGAATGGATTGAATTAAGAAATACAAGGTTGTTAACACTGGAAGGGCATGATTTATAACTGGGATGGCATGCCTTTTTATGGCATGGTAGAAGCAAGACACATACATACTTTCATAGATATTATATAAGAAATGCATCGTTACTGGTATGGGAGAAGGTTAGAGATAATTTTTATGTGAAAATATCAACATGGTTATCAATAACAGAAGCTTTAATACACCCAAATGTCTTTAATTTTGGAAATATTGTTAGATATAATGAGTTATTAATGGATAAGGGGGAACTGAAAGAGTAATGAGAATTGGAACAACAGGGAATTGAGAAAGATTGGTTCATGTATATGCAAATAAGATCAAGATATGAAAAAGATACTAAATTATATGGTTTTTATATGGAAAAGACTGAACTAAATAAGATACTCATGGGAACAGAGGAAAACGTAATAAAAAAAATTATAACTTTTTGCTATATATTGAATGAGAGGAAGAGCAACTAAAAGAAACAATGATAGCCTGGGGTAGAAATTTTGGTTATCCAATTGAGTTTAAAAAATGGCAACAACTATGGGAAAGGAACTATAAATTAACAATGTCCACAGCATATAAGGAAAATCAATATAAAATGTTTTATAGATGGCATATGCCACCAGAGAAGTTAGCAAAAATGTTTAAAGATAAATCGGCTACCTGCTGGAAATGTCATCAAACACCAGGATCTTATTACCATATGTGGTGGACTTGTCCTGAAGCAAAAAAATACTGGTACAAGATTAAAATCTGGCTGGAAGAAATGATACAGCAATGTATTGAATTTAAATCAGAGTTGTTCCTACTGGGTATCTTTCCAGAGAAAATTAGTAAGGAAAATGTATATTTGATCATATATGTAATAACAGTTGCAAGAATTGTGTATGTTCAAAATTGGAAATCAGAGAAAATACCTATGGAAGAAGAAGTAATAAAAAAAATTTAGATTGTACAGAAATGAATAAATTAACTCTGATGATTAAAGATAAGGAAGAATCAGAATATTTTAAAACATGGAATTATTTTTATAGTTGGTTGGAAAAGAGGTATAAATGACTAATACCATAATTATGTATAAATGATGATTACAATATTGTTTTAGCAATGAAATTTTAGAATGGTTTGGATGAAGATGAAGATAGAAGAAACTTATGGAAGATGGAGAAGAAGCCTAGAAAATAACACCAAGATATCACAGGGAAGGAAGGATTGAGGTATTAAATGTTTGTTTGTCTTAAAAAAAAATACTAAAAAACAAACAAACCTGGAAGCACTTTGATGTTCCTGACATGACTGTAATAGTAGTAATACATCTGGCAGAAGGTCAACTATCTGAAATTGTGGCCAAGTCACTGATAAAAAGTGCTACCAAGCCATCTACAATTGTTATTGTTTATATTTTACGACCCTTACGGAAAAATAGTATAAAGCTGAAGGGATGTGGTCTGCATAACATTTTAGTATTTATTCAATAAAATCTTTTTTTGGCATTTTACTCTGATCTGAGCCTCTTCCCTCTGAATCCTATTGATTCCCAATTGGCCACTGATATTCACACAGAAGGCTGAAAAAATAGGATGGGGACCGTTACATAGCATCAGGTTGTCCACTTCTCTTCTGGTGAAATGAAGTATCTTTCATTTTCATCTCCATTCTTTCCTTTACCAATTAAGTGCCCAAATCACAAATACCTTTTCAGCTCAAATATTCGACCCTGACTTTTTAAACTATCCCTGTAAACTTATGTTTTTCTTACTTCATAGTCTCATTTTGGTACAGAATCCACTTTCCTCTTCTTTCTTTCCCATTCCATTTGCTTTTCATCATTTAGTTTGAAAATCTCTTTTCATCACAATAAACTATTATTAGCTCTCTTGGGCATTCAATTAATATAGATACTTAACAAAGAACTCCTTGTTTCAGCTTCCTTTACATTCAGGTATCGATTGTGCTGTAAAAAAAATTCCTAACTTCATAAATACAGCATCAGAACAGCTCCCTCTTCTGACAGTTGGACACTGCTGAAAAGCTCTTTGGGAAGCTTTGCACACCAAAGAGAAAAATTTTAGTATAAAAATCTAGGCAAGCTCAGTATAAATTCATAATAAGCACAATCTGTTACCTCCTTCACTTTCCACAATGATCCTTTAATCATCCATGGTTAGCTGTTGCTCCCTGAACCTTGGGCATTGGCATTCTCACACAATGCAGTAGCTAGTGCAATGTCACCAAAAGTAAATTGTAAAATAAACTTTTTGAAAAAAGACAAATGTATTTGCTATTCCATATACAGATAGTCCTTGACTTACAACAGTTCATTGAATGACCATTCAAAGTTACAAAGGCAAAAGAGACATGACCAGTTTTCACATATGCAGCATCCTCATGGTCATGTGATTTACATTCGGATACTTGACAACTGGTTCATATTTATGACGGTTGGAATGTCCTAGGGTCATGTGATCATCTTTTGTGACCTTCTGGCAAGCAAAGTCAATGGGAAAGCCAGATTCATTTAACAACAGTGTTACTAATTTAACAACTGCAGTGATTTACTTAACAAATGTGGCAAGAAAAGCCATAAAATGGAGCAAAACTCACTTAACAAATTTCTCATTTAGTAACAAATTTTGGGCTCAACTGTGGTCAAATGTCACCTGTATTATAGAAATAAGATAAGCCATCTGAGAGAAGGCTATACTTTGTTAGAATCAAAGTATTTCAGGTCTATAAAGAAAAGAATTGAAAATATACAGAATCAATAAATATAACTGAATGATATGGAAAATTTTCATGAACTTCAAAAGCAGCTCAAAATTGCCAAGCAGGCCCTATAGAGCTTCTTGCACTTATGCAATGAATCCAGTCACTGAAATAAAAAAAATCCTTCAGGCTGCCATAAGGTCCTGGAATAAACAATCTTTGAGACATCTAAACAGCAGCTAGGTTAGATTTTTTTGTATCCAACATGTATATCACAGAATTGCACAAATTGTGCAATTAGTAATTGTAGCTGAAATTATTAATACATATTTTGTATATATGGAGAGGAAAGCAGACAGACTACATTACATAATTTCATACTGATGATGATACATGATGATGATACATTTGTTTTAAGACAAAAAAAAAGTATTTTCATATATAAACTAGCTGAATACCCATACTCCGCTACGAAACTCTATGATCCGGCTTGATAAATCGACACTTACAGCTTGAAAATTAATGAGTAGTTACGATGAGCCTCTCCTCTTCCCTTCTCTCCCTTGGCCTTGCCCCACAGAAGCCTATCCTATCCTATCATCCTTCTCTCCCTCAGGCTTGCCCCACAGAAGCCTCCCCTATCCTATCCTCTTCTCTCCTCCAGGCTTGCCGCACAGAGGCCTCTCCTCTCCTCTCCTCTCCTCTCCTCTCCTCTCCTATCCCTTCTCTCCCTCAGCCTTGCCCCACAGAAGCCTCCCCTATCCTATCCCCCTTCTCTCCCTCAGGCTTGCCTCATAGAAGCCTCCCCATCCTATCCCCTGCCTCCCCTTCTCTCCCTCAGACTTGCTTCATAGAAGCCTCCCCTATCCTATCCCCTGCTTGCTGCTGTGAAAGTAAAACTGAAACTCCTTTCCTCTGCTTGGTGTTTTGCATTTGGAACAGATTTCTTTTCAGATGGGGAGGGAAAGTAAAACTCCTTAGCATCAGAGGGCTGTTTTGAAAGTGAAACAGTATTTGCTGTATGAGCAAGGAGACAGGAAGGAGCCTGGCCCTGGCTTAGCTCAACCATTCTGTAGTAAAGCTGCTTGTTGCTGTGAAAGTAAAACTGAAACTTGAACTCCTCTCTTCTGCTTGTGTTTTGCATTTGGAACAGATTTCTTTTCAGGTGGGAAGGGGGAGTAGAACTCCATAGCATCAGAGCATGTTAATAATAATATAGGAAATACTAATGCTCTGATGGTCATTTTGAAAAATCCTTTCTTAGTGAGCACCTAGGAACCTAACACATAAGAATCAAAGTTAGTGGTGGCAAGTAAAAGCAGTGAACAATATCCCAGCTTTGTTCAGTCATTGCAAGGTTTTGATGTCATAATGTTATCTGGTGATCAACAAAGTTGAGATTTCTAATAGGCCACCAAGCCCAAAAAGTATAGAATCACCACACAGTAAAACTTACAGATGAATTTAATTAAGCTCCTTGTGGATTGCCCAGGATCAGCAGAAATATATTGATTTACAAACTAAGTATATACAAATACTTAAGCATTTGGGCCAAAGGAGAAAAAGTGCCAATCAAAATTGTTCATGAATTGGTATTCAAACAATTTAAAATTATTTTTCTTTCTTCATAAATAAATAAATTTCTTTGCAATATGTGCATTATTTCTTTGGAATTTTAAAAATAACAAGAGAATATTCATTTAAATGAAAAATGTTAAGGAGACAATGGTTCAAGTTACACAACGTGAAATATCACATGGAGGCCATTAGTCACCCATATAATGGCTTAGGATGAATGCTGTCAAGTTACAAGCCAAACTGAGGCTGTGAGCTCTCTTGAGACACTTATATGAGCAATCTAATTTGTATGAACAAGGGTTCTCCCATTATAATATCAGTCCTACAGAAAGTCTTTAATATTCCCATGAAGCAAGATGCTAAAGATCTAAAAATATCATATTATAACAATATGAACAATTTGTTATAATACGAATTTGGTCTAAAATCACACTTTAAAAATAGTTTATAGTTTAAAACTTATTTATATTTCCCTGTTCTTTCCTGCATTTGACATTCTGCGAATAAGAAATGGAATATCATCTCACTTTTCATAACAAGAATGAAAAATAAAAACAGGATATAAAATACCAAAGAAAATAAAGCTAAGACAGAATACTGTACCACTGAAGTCAAAATACCTGTTATTGAGCAGTAAATAATATGAGGAGCAACTTTGTTGATCTCATCATAACCCAGACCCATTCCAGCCAGTTTTCCAGGGATATAGTTTTCCACAAGAACATCACAGACAGCTGCTAGCTAAAATTTAAAGTGGAAATGAATCAGCATTCAGCAACAACAAAAAACCATAAATATAATTTAAAATCACTGTAAACATGACAATTTTCGCATATCTGTGTTCTATAGGGTCCAGTTATATAGCAGATATGGCAAGTGCTTTAGAGATGAATTTTCTAATAAAGTCTTCAAATTGGTCATTGGTTATTCATTATTCAGACTGAAATGATAGCATAACTGTTTTTCAGCAATAGAAAATGGACCTGAATTAACCACAGAATGATTTAGATAGATCAGAAAGAACCTTGATTTCAACATTAGCAAAAGTTAAAAATCTCTCTTTGAGAATTGATTTATTTATGATTTATTAAATTATTTAATTATTATTATTAATATTTGTTATTCTAAAACATTTTCCCATGTCTTTGTCAAAAGTATTCCCAAAGGATCTTTCATGCAATTGATTTTAAAACATAATTTCCTGTCCACAAATTAAGTAACAAAAGGAAAAAAGTGACAAAGATAACATGAGCCTGAAAGGGGAGGGGAGGAGAAGGGAGGGGAGGGGAGTGGAGAAGAAATAAAATACAGCAACCAATTCTTAAAGTAAAAGTTCTGAAACTGAAACTCAAGAATAAGAAGAACGTAACAAAGCTGCCTGTTTTGCTCATTCAAAATATTTCCTTACTTCTAATAATCACATTTAATCTATGATTATGGAACCAAGGCATACACATTTTCTAATCCATAGATCAAGTACGCAGCAGCTTAGAGAACATTCTCTAAGCTGAACATTTCATGATGCCTGAAAAAAGTCTCCACTGATATCACTGAAGCTGCAAGGCATTTTCAAGAACAATTGCTATTACGAAAGGGAGGAGAGGTATAATCCTTTATTCCACAATGTTGCAGAAAAATATTACACTTCTGTGAGTAAAGACACATACCAACTAAAACCAGTCAATTAACATAAACTTAATCTGCTTCACAGTATTATTTTGGTCTGCATATGGAAGAATAGGGGAGAGGGGAAAAATGAATAACGTGTGTTATGAGTAATGGGGAAATGTGTTGGAGATTGCTTCTCAAAATGAATACATTTTACTCCCTATTGGTTGTGGCCAGATTCACCAAGGAGTTAATATCTTTCCATCAAGCCAATCTATTATTGGGCCAAAAAAAGTAACTGCTCTTCTTTTCAATTTCAACTTTAGTTGTGGTTTCTGTTCAGCCAGTAATAAAAAATAATTTTAGTTTCATGACAAAAATATTTCCCTAAAATGACAATGTTGAAGGAGATGTTTATGCACCATAGACAAATTTCTTGTGTATCCAATCATACTTGGCCAATAAAGAATTCTAATTCTAAAGAATGTAATGGAAAGAAATGTTCAATGATTTCAAAAAGTACCCTTTATTATCATCACATCATTTTTTAAAGAACCTACACCTACAATTATAATATTCTTTTTTTATTGGTAGACTTAACCAACCGTATTTTTCACACTATAAGATGCACTTTCCCCCCCCCCCCAAAAAAAGTAGTGGAAATGCCTGTGCGTCTTATAGAGGGAATATTGTGGCGACAGGAGGGGGGTTGGTGTCACTGCGGCTGCCTGTCATCACTGCTGTCATTTGCCACCACCACCGAATGCTGTTGACCGGTGGTGGGCACAACAGAGCAGAGCCCTAATGAGCCACATGCTGGGGCTGCGATAACGTGCTGAAGCTGACCAGCCTGTTTGCTGTTTGCTGCAAGGACGTTAGCCAGATAAATACCAGATGGATTCTGGGAAGCAAAGGCAGATTTTTTCCCCCCTTGTTTTCCTTCTCTAAAGCTAATGTGCATCTTATAGTGCGAAAAATATGGCATATAGACATTATTGTGAATTTTGGAGTTAGTTGGGTAGCCACTCAGGATGTACTAAAGGCATATTTTTTATTTTTCCTTTAATGTCTGAACAGCAGCATTAATGATTGACAAAGTTTTGGATGGGCACAATCTATTTAATGCTAAACTGCTTTCCATAACTACTTCCCACCCAGACCTTTATACAACAATCAGTTAAAAAGTACTGTATTTTCTCACTGTTATAGCCAGACAAAAATCCATGAAGTTTTAATTTCCTCATTATACATAAACCTTTTTTTTTACAAATAGTTTCTTCATTTTTACATTACTTTATTGCACTCATTTACACTAATGTGGAGAAGACTCCTGTGAGTCCCTTGGACTGCAAGGCGATCAAACCGGTCAGTCCTAGAGGAGATCAACCCTGACTGCTACTTTGGCCACCTAATAAGACGGACGGATTTACTGGAGAAGAGCATAATGCTGGGAAAGATTGTGTAAGGATCAGCTTCTCCCCCCCTTCCAAGAAAGTATGAACTCTTGAGAACTTTGTATTTCAAAAGGAGCCTTTTATTGAAAGGGATGAAAGCAAGTCAAAACTCAAAGCAGGCTCTGGGGTCCCTCAGGGCATGCAGTTCAAGATAAAGAAAATTAGGAACCCCTTCCCCACCGTCCAATGTGGATTCTGACCAATCCGCCAGTGTGAAGATGAATTGTAGCAGCCTCTCTGAGAAACAGATAGGAAGAGCTTCTCAGGGTCGGCTTGCAAACCACTCATTCCCCCCTCCCCTTTCATTTCCCAAGGTGTGAGAATTCTCCAGGCATTCCTGGCACAAGGCAACAGTTATAAATCAGGTTAAAGTTTATAGAAAGAGGACCAGGCAGGAAATAGGATACTTAGGACACATAGGAAAAAGAACTAAATGTGACAACTAAAAATCCCCCCCCCCCCAATTCCACAAAGAATGGCAGATACACAGATCTGACAGACTGAGGGCAAAAGAAGAATGGGACAACAGAGAATGACTGGATGGAGTCACTGAAGCAGTCGGCACGAGCTTAAATGGACTCCAGAAGATGGAAAAGGACAGGAAGGCCTGGAGGAACATTGTCCATGGGGTCGCGATGGGTCGGACATGACTTCGCAACTAAAAACAAGCAGCATTTATTCAAATAACATACACAGACATGCATAAGATTATCTGCAATTTAAAAGACAATAACCATATTCCCTCAATTAGTCTATTAAATTGAGATTTCCCAGTTAATTTCAAAATCTTCCCACCAGCATCACTTCAGCAAAGCATCCACTTGTTAATTGTAAGTTTCCTGAGGCTGACCATACTTTAAAAAGATTCTGAAAAATGTATCAGATTCAGGCAAGTACAGGGTCTCTGTCCTGTTCATTAAAGCAGCCCACTTCTTTTCTAGATTCTACAGCTCATTAAAGCAAATGTCATCTTTATATAACAGAATAAAAACAACATTCATAGATTCTGAAAGAAAAACCTATACACAATTCATTAGAATTAATTCCAGCATCAATAGAGGAAAGTACAGGTAATTTCCCCCGGTACAAACCTTTATTTCGCGAATTTTATTCAGAAAGGGTACTTATGTTAGAAATTCAAAACTGAGATCAAAACAGACCTCTGTAGCCTTGTGATTTGGATTTAGTCACTGCTGCAACGGCTTTTCTGTGCCATTTGGGGTTACGAATCCGTTTTTTGTTTGTTTTTTGTCCCTGGCCAAACAAGATCAGGTGATTTTTGCAGTTGGCCCAGCGCCGAGTTTGTTTTTGGAGTTTTCTCGTGCTGTGTGGGCTTCAGGATAGTGCTATAATTGAGTGCTAGAATTGCTTCTGTATTTTAAAATATTGTTTTTTGTTATTCTGTAATACAGTACTGTTTGTAAGCACTTTCAGAACTGCTCTCCTTTTTAAGTACTATACTTTGCAAACTATTGTGTTTGTAAGTACAGTACTTTGCAAAGAAAAAGTTTGTTTGCATTTGCCTTGAAACTGCTTGTAGAAATGCTAGCCAGCATCTACACAAAGCATTCTATAATGCTGTGTTTCCTTGCTTTTATTCTGGAGATTAGTGTATATTACTGCAGTTTGTAGTCTTTAAATTTAAATTGCCTCCAGAAGTTAGGGGTACCCCATCACTGGAAGCTTTTAAGAAGAGACTGGATAGGCATTTATCAGAAATACTCTCTTGTGAAAGCAGTGGGTTAGACTAGATGACCTCAATGTTCCTTCCATCTCTCTTACTGTTGCAAGCTGAGAGTTCTGTAAATCCCACCCCCATCTCCCTTTGGGTGCCTGTCTGGAGATTCTTAAGTTAATTAGTGGCAAGTGTTTTTTTTTAAAGCAACGGCAGTCGGAAAGTTCTGTAAATTATCACCCCATCCCCCTCAGCTGTCTGAAGAGGCTTGATCTGACTAGCAGCAAACTGTTATGTTTTTTTTTTAAGCAACTGAAAACAGAGAGCACTGCAAGTCTGCTTGGATGCAATTTGGTTCCTCAGCCAGAAACAGCTGATGGGCAGCTGGCAGGAAAGCCTCTCAGTTCAGTTACTGATGGCAGCGATCAATTAATGAATCAGAGGAAATAGTAAGTCAGAGCTTTCTTCATTTAACAAGTCATTTGATTCAATTAATGAATTTGATTTTAAAAATTCATGAAATTGAGTCCGATTCATTTAATGACTTTTTTGACTTACGAACCTAATAGCCAGACTTGAGTACAACCTGTAATCCTGCGTAAATTTCAGTTATTGTGCTTGGATACAAAATTAAAGCAGCAGCTTCAGTTGTACTTCCTCCAAAAGCAGCCCTAGTGATAGGCTAATGAATCCAAGGCAAGTATACTAGAAATGAGTGCCATATTTCCAAGAAAACATATGTAGAATTCATGGAATTCTGGAAATAAATATGTACAGTCCTAAAATAAATACAGTACATTTCAGTATCAATAATTCAGAGTCTGGGGTGACTTCCGCTCTTTTCTTGAGCGCCAGCCCCGCAATCTCGTAAAGCCGTTAGAACAGCGCAAATCAGCTGTCTAGCGGCTTGAAAACTTTCTCCCCGGGAAAAGGGGAGGAAGAGAGCAGACGGGTGTAGGTGGAGCTCCCCAAGGAGCCCCAGGAACAATTTTGGGGCTCGAAGG